CATCGACAATCATTTCATCGACAGTACACTTCACCGACAGTCATTTCACGTGACACATTGTTTATCGCACTTATCATGAAATTTATGTCGGTGAAACGTACTGTCGGCGAAATGATTGTCGATGAAATGAACCGGACCCAATCATATCGTATCGGGTCAAGATTACAATGATGAAACAAAATGGTACAGAAAACTTTTAGAGTCATAATGCGAGTCTATGTCACACCCTTCCTCCTATTTATACACAGTTGATGTCGAAGAAAGTTTCTATAGCTAATAAGCCTATTGACGAACGTTATGCGGTCTACAAGAGAGAGTGCTATCGTGGTTTCACCGGAGGGAAAATTTATTGCTACATGTTATTATAACAAAGTAAAAGTATGGAAGTTATCCGAGAAGGAAGAACTGGTAAAGATAAAAGAAACATTCGGTAGCGTGAATTACGGACTTGCTATTTCTGATCATGAATATCTGGCGGTTGGTCATGGTAAATTATCACGACTAATCAATTATTATCGATTCAAACGATAGCGGACACAACTTATTAATACTTCTTTAATGTAGTTGTAATTTCTTTTGGAGAAGAAGAAGACCCGTCACTCGAACCAGAACTAAAAAGTCGGAGTTTAGAATCAAACGTACGTGGCCTCAATCAAGACACAAATACAAATGATTTTAACAACGTTCATTATACGTTTCTTCGATCTCGTGAATTTGTTGTTGTGAATGATGTCGGCGTTCATCGATATGATTCTTGTGAAAACCGCCGGAAAGGCGAAACTACTGCTACTCCAACAAAAGAAGATGAAGAGGTGATAGTACCCACCGGCGAACCAGATGAACAAAACTGCCGGAAAGGCGAAACTACTGCTACTCCAACAAAAGTAGATGAAGAAGTGATAATATCCATCGACGAACCAGATGAAAAAAACCGCCGGAAAGGCAAAATTACTACTCCAACAAAAGAAGAAGAGGTGATGGTATTCACCGGCGAACCAGATGAAAAAACCCGCTGGAAAGGCAAAACTACTGCTACTCGTAAAAAAAACCGCTGGAAGGGCGAAACTACTGAATTTGACTGGCCTTTTACAACAGAGGAAGCTTTCGATAGACCAATCCAACATGTTCAATACTCTATCATCAACGGGAAATTAATATGCAAGTGTGGTAACACCCTGACACAATGGGATCTTGCTACTAAAGAAAAGGAAATGGAATACTACGCCGGACAACCGGACGAAGTTTGCGTTATTACAATAGACTCTGGAAGTACTCTATCTGCATTTGTAACTGGGAATGATGATGACGATGCTCAGACATTGACAGTGTACTGGATACAAACAAGACTTCCGATGTCGACGATACGAGTAAAGAATGATGCCGATGATTGGATCGTTGCTATGGAGTTTATAGAGACATGGGATTATCTATTGTTGCTAACAGTGACGAAAAGAGGAAAGGCTATGATATGGTATCCGTACAATCTCTCCCTAGAACCTGACAAAGACTTCAGAACTCCGCACCATCTGTACCGAGAACCTCCTAACGAAGGCTTCGGAACTCCACTGGATACAATTAATCTTCAAGAGCACGTCGGCCTGGCTGAATGGACGCCTAAGCGGACATTTGTAATCAGTGGAGCAAAGATAATAATAACAACATATGAATATGATGATTATGACGATATTATACCTAAGGTTGATGATGATGTTATACCTAAGGTCATATGTGCGGTAGAAGACCGCATCAAGGACCTCCCCAAGCATCTATTCAATCGCTCACCAAGCGCTACGCCTATTCGGCATCTTTCATTAAAGGAAGACAATTCATGTTCGGGTGGTTCTGAAACGTTTAGCCTGGAAATAACAGATCCTTCCGGGGGTCTCTTCGTTGGACTTTAGATTATTCTGGTCTTTGTGCTTGCAGAAATTCATCACTGATTAATACTCAAGAATTTGAATATTTCGGAAAGGTGACACATTCAAAAATTTGGGATAACGGTGATCTGGTTATATTAACCGTTAGATGTTTATGCATATTTTATCTCAGCGATGATGATACTATCGAACTTAGTTATTACTGGGATAATGGAATGAGGCCTAGTAGCATAGTCAATTATCTGTTAGATCTGACAGAAATTTCTCTCGACGAACTAATGGATGACGTCTGGTCAAAGTTGCTTTATGCGGTGCTTAACGATGCTGATAAACCCTTGCCTCCACCCAGTTTCAAAAGTATCTGGTGGCATAAGCGAAAGGCAGTAGAAAGTAATGATGGGCCAAGAATTCAATTATTTGAAAATCTCATTAATTTATTGATAACTAGAGATAATCTGGCCAAGTATGGAAATATAATGTTCGCCGAAGCAATTAAGCATCGAGAGAAAGCTGTAGTCGAGTCTATAATGGAGACTTGTATTGATCTCTTCCGCAATGACCCGTTTGGGTGTTTTGGCTTCTTGCAAATTGTAGCCGATTCACTATCAGAACTACGTGCACACTATCCCGATAGAGCCGCAAATTATATTTCGACTATAAGTTTTGTGGTGGCTCCACACTGTGACTCTGTAAACGCTTTGACACTATCTTTTGATCGTATTTGTACTTTTGCAAACAAGCCAGGAAATCCGAGCAGATTCATCAAGCGGAGCCAATTCCATAATATAATGAAAGTATATATTAATGCACGGCAAAGATTTTTTAAGTCTTTATGGCGACTTGTACGGTCATCTATACTGACATCAGCAGGACACAAAACTATATTGACATCAGCATGGCTACTGTTAATGAAACACTCTGTCCTGACCACTATCATCAGTGTAGTCGACTTTATGGAAAGTTTTGGGTATAGTAGAAAAAGACTTTTCAAGAGACGGTCTACATTATCTTTCGTTGTTCGGCTGCCGAACTTTTGTTCATACCCCCGGCAGTATTCAGCGGCGAAAGACTTCTTGTTCCCAACACCGAGTCCATTCATTAAGACTGCCATTAGCAGAGCACCAGAATTGTTTAGAACGTGGGATGGAGAAGCATTGGTAAACTTTAAATGGCAAAAATTTGGGCTCCGTTATTACATATTCATTTGCATAAAGTTTATAGTATTTTCCGTATGCTTCATAATTGCAATATCACAAACAGAAGATTCCTCAAACAGAAATACGAGACAAAATCTCTTCTTAGCATCTGTTGTGCTCGCTGTATGGCATCTTCATGTTGAGGTTAGGCAATTTATATGGAACCCGAAATATTATGTCTTCTCACCATGGAATTGGTTCGGTAAGCCGGCATGTTAATTGCTCTATAACAGCTTATTGATTATGTAGTTTAATCTTGTTAGCACGAGAAATCCGATTAAGATTCAAATTTATATCTATCCACTAATGCAATGCTTTAATACAGATTGTGGTGCATTTAGTTTTCCTCTTGCTACTGCTGTAAATTATCTGCAGGAGAATGACTCACCAAGATGGATGACATCATTATCCGTTTTCCTTCTTTGGATTAAGTTTCTGTCCCTTCTTCGACCGTTTGAGTATTTTGGAATCTATATAACAATAATATTTGGCGTTATACAGCAAATATTCTCGTTTCTGGTGATCCTTGGAATTATGGTCATAGGATTTGCGCATGCGCTCTTTGTATTGTTGAAACCAGAGCCTGACGCCTCATGGGAAAGGCCGTCAAGTCCACAGAATAGCGATCCTAATGATCCATGGAAGCTGACAGCATCACTCACTACAACGCTAGACAATGGAACAATCGTAGATGGCACATCATTAGTTGTGAAACCAGATGAAAATACTAATGTATATATGTGGTTCACTACTTCGCTCTTGGGAGCATACAAGTTTCTTGTTGGTAATGTTAACAGTTTGAGATGTCTTGCGTTTTTAACTAGCTTTAATCACAATCCTTTGTGAAATAGGTGACTGGTCGTCAGTTGCAAATTGGGGCCCAAATGAGAATCCATTACTAGTCATGATGACGGTCTTATTCTCTTTCTTTGTTGTGATTTATTTGATGAATCTCTTTATTGGATTGTTAAATAACGCAATCAATGCATATAATGAATATGCGTCATATTTAGCACAGAAAGCAGAGGTATTGAAATGGTCGTATTATGTAAGTGCTATTCATAATAGACAAGGTTAACAAATATCTGTCTCTATAGGTATTGGCAGAGATCGAGTTGTTCTATCTTACTCCAAATCAACGAAGATCAGAATGGTTTCCCAGTACTATGTAGGTAATTTGGTTTGCAATGCATAATTATGATAACTTTATTTAACATTCATGATCTTTAGATATTTCGAGGCTGATACCGAAGAAATACGGAAAGTTATGAAAGAGAATATTCAGGCCGATCCTGATTATCCATCTAAACTCTCAAAACACAGCAAGAAAATGTTGGAAATTCTGAATATTAGATAAGCTGGCTGAATAAACTATAATAATATTGTACTATATGAACGGTTAAGTTTCTTAAATCCACTAATTAGGAAAAACCGACATCTCGAATAGAAGCGCGACTTTTTGTGAGATTCAGTGTGTGTTCGTGTGTGTATTCCTTATTATCATTATTAAAGTATATCATTAATAAACGAGTAGTTCATTATACTCTGAAATACACGATCGATAATTCTCGTTTTTTGCAATATTAAAAAATGTTTCTACACATTAAATAAAATATTTGTTATATAATTGTTGCCAAATTATCACGCGATGCAGTAAATGGATACAGAAGAACAACTTGTTGCGTCTATAATTTTTTCATGGGAAAGGAAAACAATCCACTGACTTCCGACTAAAAACTGTGGAATGTGGTTTTCTTACTGAGCCTGAACGACTGGTGAAAAAAAAGATAAAATTAAGACTCATCGAAAGCATGCCACGACAAGTTTGATGCAGATGATGGTCCGACAAAATATATTAAAAAGATAACCAATTCAATGGCGTAGAAACATTTTTTATTATTGTTAAAGTTATCATTGTCGTAATAAAAACTGAGAATTTATATAATAAGAAAGTACCATAAACTTCCTCCCTCACGTAAATCAGGCTGTTGATGAGTTAATTGATACAGATAAACGGTGTGGGACTAGTGCAATAACCGACCGTATATAACGATAACGAACAAACCCCTCTCAGAAGAGATTATACAGAACAAACACAACAATCATTGCAACCTTAGCTTTACCTCTGAAGAATAACTCCACAAAGGAGTTCAGCCGCGATTGCTTTTTTTGTCTGTAGAATAACAAGCCATCGTCTAATGGACGAATTCTTTCGACAGATACTGAAGAACGACAGATAAACGGTTAAATATTAGTACCATTTATAATACTATCGTTGGTAATAACTGGACCAAAGAATCTGGGTATTCTCGCAACATGCTAAGCTTAGCTTATCAAGTTCAACTATGACACAGCTTATATTAACCCAACGTAAGTCGATTTTTATTATTGCCGATTTTACGGAAGAAATACAACTTACATACACCGCTTGATATTAACTTTTCAACCCAGAATTAAAATTTACTTTTGGAGAACATCATATTGCCTCCGGTTGATCGAGACCAATATAGAACACATACCATATCATATCGGTCAATTAACAACATACTGCAAATACCCAAGACGTCTATTTAGCTGACAAATATACTCGTATGTAATAAAAAGTTTTTTACTAAGTAAGCCGTAAGCTTACAAGGATTGATCAGGAAACTCCAAACCTCCCCAAGTATGAAATCAAAATGTTGGTGTTTAGGAGTTCTTGAACAGAAGTTTCATTTGATACCTGAAAATCCTCCCTCAACGCAGGTTGCTATGTTCTTTCCGACTGGAATCAAATGTGTATTTTTGGACATTCTCTAGGAATCCTTCCCAATTTGACACATGCTATGGAGTATCCCCATAGTTGCTTCGCGTAGTAGTTGTACTCTTCAGAAGATAATCATACATAGCTATAGTATGGACTATAACAATCCCGTGCCATTTTTAATGCTCCTATAGCCATTTTAAGCTCTTCTGGAGATAGTTTCGTTGTTGCATTTGCATCCATCATTGCAGGGGTTGGCTCACTGCAGAGATAGTGCCTGCGGAGATAGCTGGAAAAAAATTCGTTATTCGAGAGCGACAATTGCATCATTGTGCAAGTGACGATGTCCTATCTTGATCTTTTTTTTTATCCACACAACATAGGCTTTGCTTCCCCCTAAACAACAGGGATATATCAAAAATTATAATAATTTATGATTTGCTGGAAATTTCCCGCAAGAAGGAAATTTCACTGGCGGTACACCAAAGTATATATTTTTGTAATAATTCTTCTACCTGATGTACTACTAATTACATGCTATTATAATAACTCTGCATAGTCCATGTATAATATACCTTTCTACTAACTTATACCTTGATGTACTACCAATTATGGCCTGATACTACTTACTTTGCATGCACACTTCTGTGCATAATAACTCTGTGGTAGTACGCCAAAGCATAATTTTTATACCTTAATGTACTACTGAAAATCATAAAGCGACAATGACTTTGTTCTATTAATTATACCTTAATGTACTACTAATTATATGACAGTACACCAAAGATATTGTCCTTAAATTATGTTAGCTATTCTGATCATATGGTGGAAGAGTTGGGGCCCCGACTTTATTAAAACCAGTCCCACTGTAGGGTTTACGGTCTATCCAATAACTTTGTATCCACGTTTGTTGATTCTTAGGTCCTTCTCTTTTTCGCCCACTCTTGATAGTATAACACATCAATTTCCTATCACTGCATTAATAAATTTTATTGTAGCATTGAGATTAGGCGGCTCTTTAGCCCGAGACTTAAATCCAAAAGCAACAATGCTTCTCGACGAATTTTTCTCGTGATTTTGCGAACGCTTTTGTAACACCATCGCCTGAAAGAATTTTCGCATCGTAAATGTCATAAAATCCCAAGGACTGAAATAAATCGTGTACCACCTCCCATTGCTTTGCTGAATAAGTCATTTGAGCCCGGATAAAGCGAAAGCTTCGATTTTTCCTATTGCATTGCTTCTTTTATTTTTATATTTTCCAAAGCTTTTATTGCATTAGAACCTTGTCTTCGGAAATATGCCAGCCTCTTAAAATGTAATAACGCTTCAGGATTGTTGAATCGTTTTACGAAATCTATATTACTGTACATAGTTTAACCCAATCAGTGGTATCCATGCCCCAGTCTCGAGCATCATGAAAAATAAAGGACCGAGCAAACGTAATTTTTATTTCATCTAATTAAATCGGGTTAGGTTCTCATTTTCACGTGTAGTAGTCATAAAGTACACATGATCCTTTTCCCAACGCATTTACGCAATATTATAAAAATAATAAACACTATTATCTAAAAAACCCAGATTTGATCCACCAATAAGCTCGCTTGTCAATAAATTTACTATGTCCAGTTTGGCATTATTCAACTCTTCGGGAAGCGTGCCTTTTGGTCTTAACTGCTATTTTTGCTCGTTTATTACGACCATATTCATGGGGATCGTTTACCATGTGGATGATTCCCAAACAAAAAATTTCCGATGAACTCTCCGCTCGTGATATAAAAATTAATACGTCTATAACTGCAATTGGCAAAATTAAGCATGAAATTAGTGCAAATATTACCGCAGAAATGAATACTAAAGTCGCCAATGAACTTTCCTCACGTGTATTGGAAATTAACGATAAATCTACTGTAGAGATCTGCAAATTTAAGAATGAAATTAAAGCACGTGATAATGCCTTTTCTTCAGAGACGAATGGAATTTTGGCATCGCTCAATACCATCGCAAGTAAATTTAGCGAGATCGAAAAAATTCTAAACATCATAATAACTTTTGTGAAATTTCGTCAAAATTATAGGGTTAAGGGTGCGAATGATTATTCTTTAGATCAAATGTGTGCTGTTGCATCGGTTGATATTCTTAATCTTGGGATGGGAGCAATTGGAAAAGATACAATAAAGGGTTTTTACCGTGGGGATAATGTAAAAAGCGAAAACTTAGAAAAGATAGGCGCTTGGATAGATCATAGACATTACACCATTACTGAGTAGCTGCCACTATGGGTTAGGGCTCGGCAGGCTTAACAAGCAGGCGTGTTTTTTCATGTCTTTCCTCCCTTGAAACAACCTGCTACTCTGTTATTTTTTTTCTTTCATTTTTACTTAGCCGGCTGTCAGCGGTTTTCTTCGCGAGGCGGCTGCGCTCCCTCACCACGACAATAGGGCTCATGCTTAGTGATGAGGCCACCGACTTAGCCAACATTATTATACTACGTAAGTATATCTCTATAATTCTATCTCTAAGATCGGATATTATCATAACTAATTATTTCTTTAGGAAATAATTTCCTTCTTGCTAGACGAATGATTTTACGTTGACTATTATTTTCATGATTCGTGTTTCGTAGTACACTTGTTCGCAGACTTACATTGGGATCGTGTCTCGAATATATCTTAGGTAACAGATATATTCTCCATCGGCCTTTCTATACTATCCGTAATAATTATAAAATATATAACAATTAAATAAGAATACAACACTTCAGATTTAACCGCTACTCTTAATGGCCTATTAATTTCGTTAATATATACAAGGTCAACCGAAGATGTCGGTGCAGCCATTTTTCTTCAGGGAAACCATACATTCGGATAAATGGGGTAAGTGGTCAAGCTGCCAGATAATATATATCGTAAACCTCTTTATTCACTTATAACATAAGCTTACTACACTAACAGCTTACTTCACTAACAGCTTGTGAAATAACTGCTTATTTGAGATTGAACTTTGGAGTCGGAGATTGATTGACGTATTTTTTTTTTACATTGATTAACTCATATATATAATTCTCGCTAAGGCCAATATCCATCTCTCTTTGTTCTAGGAAAGTTACTAACATATCAATCGATTTCATAGCATCTGTAATCTATCCTCAATCTGTAATGTAGAGTCTACATTAATATATTTGTTAGCTGTTAAAATAGATCCAGGATCAAACCGTTCGATCAAACGTTGAATAATATATCTTCGTCATTATCGTCATTATTATCAGATGGTATATCGAGCAGACTGTCAATATCGTAGGAACTGTGGTATGGAGAAATAATGCCAGTCTTTGACCAACATGACGCAATCGTACTGGGTTTAACAAGATTCCATGCTTCTGTTGCTCAGCGCACTGCATCGAGTATAGTAAGCTCGGGTATGGGTGTATTCATAGTAATGTACTCGTCGTATGCATTGACTCGATTCTCACGCAAAAGCTGACGATATTTTGACTAATAAGGGATAGTGTAAAAAATGCCAGTTTAGTAGAAAAGAATATTAATATGTGTAATAAAAATTGTCAATTACCTTATAAGAATGAATGACTCCTCATCACACGGCTGCAGGTGAGCTGTCGTGTTCGGCGGGAAATAGTGCAACGTAATATTTGACAATGAAATACCAAATGTACCGTATCATTATCAAGTAAAAGCAAGATGTGACGCTGTGCCTTTCGCATATCTCTGTTAAGTTTCAAAAGCCAATGAGAAAAGATTGAGCATTGCATCCACGCACTAGAATTCCAATAATAATATACAGGCAAGCTCTTCTTATCGATATTTCGCATACATCTGGGATTTTATACAGTGACACCTCCATAAATGCAACACCTTGGGACCGAGGGTTGTGTTGCATTTATGGGGGTTTTGCATTTATG